GTGATTATATAACGAGGGTAATACAGAATTTTTTCCGCATGGTAATAAATGTGAAGCGATGCCAATGGCCATAAAGAAAATGAGAAAATGAAGCATCCTACGAGATCTTCTTCATCACCTGGAAATAAAATTAGGGGGAAGGTAGCTACTAGCTAGTACCATTGTTCAAGCATTCGAAATGCTTTAATTTTTCTGTTGATTCCCTTGAAAAATTTAATATATAATTAAATTCATAGCTAGAGACATGACATGATGATGGTGATCATCCTTCAACGACCATGAGATTGCAGGCCTGCTTCTACTTTGGCCATCAAAAAGGCACTAGTCAAACTCGATATAGTTATAGCACTACCAGTAAAAAATTAATAATTATATAATGAGGTTTTGAATGGTTTGGTCAGCCACTGGGATCACTACTAGAAAATTGAGTAGAAGCCACCGCATCTAAATTGTCGCCATTGCTGATGTAATAGCCACAATTACTGTACATCTATGGCACCAAATATACGGCCACGATGTATTTGTGGCTGAAAAACAATTAGACGTGGATATTGAGACAAAATGTTACTTATTTTTCAATTATTACACATAGCCACGGCCCACGGTCAATGTCTGATGTCAATTCGTCCCCTCGATCTTTATTTATAGATCACTCTTGCAAGAAAAAAAAAATAGTGACAGCCCTTGCAAAAGGCAAGGTGTGTTTCCACCCATTGTCATGGTAAATGGCAAATACTATTCACTTTAACTTATTTTTATTTTTTTATACTTAAACGATTAATTTGGATAAGATTTTCAGTTGCAACGTGTCATTTTTTTATTATATAAAATTCTCATCTCATATTTTGGATAAATTTTCGAATAAGATTTTCCGATAAAATTTTCAGATAAGATTTTCGATTGCCACGTGTCCATATTTATTATAAAATTCACATATCAAATTTCAAATAAAATTTTCAATTGCCACATGTCCATATTTATTATAAAATCCACATCTCACTCATCATACAATTGAAATACTCCTGATCCTCATAGTCCGACACAATCGAGTACAAGGACGATTCGATCATTGGCGAAGGCGGTTCCACCGGATCACGACGTGATGATTTTTCATGTTATTCACCCACTATTTTGAGTTAGTTCTTGACATTTTATAGCTTTTTACTTCCTTTTTGTGTTTTCTTAGATTTTACCTTGGTTGG